CTCTGCAAACGTCAGCGGCAGCAGGAGGAGCCTTCTGATCACATCAGACATTACCGGCGCCAGGCCAGATCGCGTGATACCGGGAGCTGGCCGACGCTGGCGCCGCGGCCGGGCCGGCGGCCGGTCGTTTGTACGGGCGGCTCGGGAGCCGTTTGTTTGGACGGCCGCGGATGCGGCTGCAGACGAGGCCGGACGGCCGACAGACACGCGCCGCCTCCACGAACAGCACACGGGCGCCACTGGTTGGCCGCCTCGTATGGATCGGCCGCGCCCGCCGCGCCGCTTGGGGCGGCGGCCCGGTTTTGACGGGACCGGTCCCTGGCACTGCAGGACGGACGGGGTGGATGTCAGGGCGGGCGGGGTCAGGGGGTGTCGCGGCGGAGGCGGTCCGGGGGTATCGAGGCGCGCGGGGTCAGGGGGTGTTGAGGTGGGTGTGAACAGGGGGAGTCGGGGCAGGCGCAGTCAGGGGGTGTCGAGGCGGGCGGGGTTAGATGTGGCGGGATCCGCTCTCCTAACGGACGGGGGTACTGGTGGCGATGGCTTACGCCGTGGTGCGGAGTGCATCGAGTTATTCAGCCACACATGAGGAGTCTGAATAAATCGGAACTGGCAGCAAAGAAGTGGTTTGGTCATTCCGCGGCAACTGAAACACGAAATTGCAATTTTACTTACCATAAACTTAGAACTGCACACAATTTGGTTTACCAGGAGCTTTGCACTTCGATCAGAATTTGAAAGTTTTTAAAACTCTGCGCCCAGTGGCTTTCCGTTGTTGATGACGCCAGAAACGATGCAATGACGGAAATGCGCTAAGCAAAATGATGATAACTCCACGATCAGGTCACAAATGTTACATCAAAAAACGACACCATGTAAACAATACAATGTCCTACCTGGCAATACAAAGTCAAATCGAATGATCGACACCATTATTAAACTATGCTTTCCTGATATATAAATTAATTTTCCCATTTCATAACATCTTCATTTCGTTAGGAGCCAGAATTTTGGAATCGCTCCAAATTTCATATCACAAATTATCAATAAACACGTGGGGACTCGCTTTACACTCGCACAGTGGGGGTACGATTAAAGCCGAACGACTCGGCGGGTCGCTCCCGACCGGCCGGCCTCGGGCGTCGCCCAGTCCTGCCGGTTGGTCCGGCCCGCGCCCATACTACCTCCAGTTGTCGGCGTCCTTCCGTGCTGGTCTAAAAAGACGACTCGAGACGACTGGAGCCATCGTTTGGATACAAATGACATCGCGGTAATCAACGTTCTCCCCCAAACCCAATAACACCGGCCGTCTCAGCATTAGCTCACTTGGCGGCGCAAGCTTTTTCTGGATGGACGGCCCTACGCGCATAATGACGAACTGTTCGTACCTTTCAAAGGAAAATGCCGGTCAGGCTTCTCGGCAGGTACAGGTCGGAGCGGCAAAAGAATCCAAGAATGGTGCTAAATGCACCCCGAGATAATGCAGTTCCCATGCGGAGTTTCACACGGATCAGCTCCGTCGCTTGTAAAAGCAAGCCCGCACACATCTCTCAGTACTTTTTGACCAACTGCAATCCCTGCCCTATTTTACGACGCATTCAACCTTTTGGAGTCTTCAGCAGGTCCGCCTCACGCACCGCCTGCAGCGGGGAGGAGCAAATACCAGGCTGGTAGCCAGGAAAGAGAGGCACTTGACTCTGATAAGCTTGGCGGCCACTTTATCCGTCGCAGGATAACTTTGCTTGTCGGAGCTTCTTCAGATATACGAGAGTTTGCACAAGATTGCAAGCATCTGGGGCATCAGCACTGCATCAGATAAATGAGTGTAATGCATAATGAGTAGCGAGACGGCAGGCGGGATGTTCGCTGCCGAAATTGCGATGAAGCCTTTAACCGCAGCGGCCCGGCCAGCCCAGTCATGGTGTACATTGCTACCTCATGTTAAAAAAGAGCAATGTACATTAATAGCCGTTTTTAAGGCAGACCATATCGTAATGAATCGTAAAACAGGTCATCTAAACCCTTACCTTAGAACTTAAATAACTAAGATAGCGAACATCCTGGCGCCGTAAACACGCAGCAACCGCGATCCCGGCGCCATTGCTAGGCGTGATCACAACATTACTGCGCAACAAGAACCATAAAAATGTGCGGGGCCAAGGTAACAAGAATCTAATGCAATATGTTTCTCGCCTATCCAAGCAGTCTTTCGTACTGTTTGTAGGTTGGTCGACGTGGTGGGCAAATATGACGTCTTTGGGTGGGGAATGAGAAGCAAAATGAGAATATGGCGGCTAAACAAAACTTTTTCATACGGTACATATACATGGCATGGAACATGGAGGCCAATGGGACACTGAGTTGAAGGGGATAGGGTGGGGAGGTTGGGCGAGGAGAGGCGAGGCGAGGCAATAGGCGAAAGGCGAGGCGAGGCAATAAGCGAAAGGCGAGGCGAGGCAAGACTGGGCTAGGCTGGTTTAGGCTATATTCCTGGACTATTCCGGCCTTTCTGTTCAATAAACGTACCTACACGCGATAAGAAACGTATTTCATTGCATTTTTATTGTTACCTTGGCCCCGTACATTTTTTATGGTTCTTGATAAGCAGAAATATTGTAACCATGCAACGATAACGCGGAAACGGCGCTGGGGAGTCGAGGCAGTGGAGTGTGCGGCGCCCGGAAGCTTGCTATCGTAGTTATTAAAATTTGAAGGTAGGAGCATGATTCTACCTGTTTTATGATTATTACGATATGTTCCGCCTTAAACATAACGAATGATGTACAATGTTTTTTTCTAACATTAGGTGCCAATGTATACCTACACTGCCAGCCCTGCCGTCACACTCTTCAGAAGTTAGCATCCGCACAAAGGCGCATCGCAGCGTCACGTCACGTTGACAAGCAAAAAGACATTACGGTAACGGACGGACTTTAAAAGCTTATTTATGTGGACTTCTAGTCTCATGCATGCGAGCTTTGTGACCAGGCTGGTTCTTCCGCAAGTTAGCAATTTAAATTTCCTTGCTCCCTTCATTTCACACGGAAAAATGAACTTCATAAATTACGTAACAACTGAGAAACATGGATCGGACCAAACACAGGTCTCTGGACACAGTGTCAGCGGCACGAAACCATCAGGCGCCGCTGGTGAAGAAAACCGACAATGCCATCGGCAAAAGTGTGAACCGATGTGTGCGGACCGATGTGTGCGGACCGATGTGCGCCGACCGATGCGTGCGGACCGATGTGCGCCGACCGATGTGTGCGGACCGATGTGCGCCGACCGATGCGTGCGGACCGATGTGTGCGGACCGATGTGTGCGGACCGATGTGTGCGGACCGCTGCGTGCGGACCGCTGCGTGCGGACCGATGTGTGCGGACCGATGTGTGCGGACCGCTGCGTGCGAACCGATGTGTACGGACCGATGCGTGCGGGCTAATGTGCGCGGACCGATGCGTGCGGACCGCTGCGTGCGGACTGATGTATGCGGACTGATGTATGCGGACCGACGCGTGTTGACTGATGCGTGTGAATCGCTGCTGCGGACCGTCACGCCGTGTTGTTCGCGGGCCGTTACACCACCGAAGTGGCCATTTTGAGGCATTTTAGAAACTAATGTCTTATCTCAGCAGCCAAAACGCGCAGGGTGTAGGTCAGTGTGCCGGCTACAGCGTACCAGCACGTCTCGGGGATGTCCAACGCGGGAGTGCGTCTGTGATCGACTGAAAACGAGCCATCGTCGCCTGCCATTGTGGCTAAAATCCAACAGAAATATCCACCTACGTTTTCAACATGCTTCGGCTACCATTGCAAAATTGTAAGACGCTGCAAAGTCATCGATTTTGTTGACCGCGATTTCCTGGCAAACCTGAGCTTATTGCAGCTAATTTTCCAACAATGCTGTTTGCGAATCAGCGTGCCAATACCACACAAGCAGACCTCTATCTGTATCATAAGCATAACCATAAAATCTAAATAACCTATAATAATAATTATAATAACCTATCACACCATAAAATGCAGAGTTTCCAACAAACTAGTGGAAACAATTTAATTGGGTTGTCATTGATGGCTGGCTTATCTCCCACATGTGGTCGCCTCGGTCGTCGCACTTAACATAAGGTACCTTACTGATCATCTGTTCCCCCTAAACGTGACTCAGCCTGTTAAGCACAGGACGTAATTTGATGCCACAATCTAGTGCCAGTGGCCAGTAAGCGTGGTTGCACCTGGGGGACTTCATTTCGCCTAAAATGAGCGCTTGATAGATACACGCGTACCAAACCGAATAACAGTCGTAGCCGCCCGCGGTTCGATGCGATTTGAAAAGTCAGAAGTTGAGAAGTCAGAGAATGAAATGTCACAATGATAACGACACAAACAGTCCCCGGGTGTCACTTTGGTGATGTAATGGTCCAGGTCGTTTTAAGTTTTAACATTCGACACCGATGCATGGTACATTTCGGATTTGCGGTGCACTTGTAGAGAATGTTCCGCATTTCAAGATATTCAAGCAAGCATCGGGTATAATGAAATAAGAACCCTCATGACTTTTGGTGTACTTTCCAGTGGAAAAGACTGTTTCATGCAACACAATTTCTCTGTCTATGAAATTTGCTTCCCAATGTATTTTGTTTGATTACGTCATCGCACCTTACACAAAATTGATTAAGCAGCTTTTGACGGTCATTATATCTGGAAATCGTGCTCGCAATCACCAGATATGAACGCCTCGACAACTATATTTTCATTGGCCTTGATCGCTGAATGGCTAATAGAATGACAATATTTGAATAACGTTATTATGGCGTCATAAATGCCTGGGTGACCTTGAAATAGTATCCTTGAAATAGCCTACACATCCTTCTGGGCGCGTAGTTCCGAAGCTAGAGGGGTTTAGGTCTTAAGAAGGGCAGGCCGTGAACTGCACCGGATAATATTCAAGATGGCCAGTTCAGTTTGAAACTTCATACAAATGTGGAGCACTTCCACATACTCTTTTCCAATATGTGGAAAAATGGTCTCAGTAAGTGCATAAAGAAATGTGGCAAAATCACAAAACTTTTGGAGACTACGATCCGAGACAGTCTTGCCTCACCAGTGAAGAAGAAATGGCCAGGGTCTAGCTGGCTGGCGTACCTACTCCAGCCGAGCATTGCACGGTCTGGCGAGCGTCTCATGACCTGTCTCAGTAGCTCCTGTGCCTTCCAGCCTGGTTTGCATGCGGCGCAGTGATCTGGTGAGCAGAACCTTCGGTTCTCGTGAGGGACCGGCCCAAAGCCCGGCAGCGCGACACGCCCTGGCACCAAGGTGACCTCCATAGGTGACGGTGCCCCGCAGAAGGGTAGCCGCGACGAAAGTCAGGTTCTCATGAGAAGCCGAACGCACAAGCTGGCATCACCTAAACGACGATACTGGTCGTGGGCCATGTTTCCCTCACCTGATGGAGCACTCGAAAAATGTCGTTGGTGCTGTTGGGGAGCTGTGGCACCTCTCCCCCGTAGTAGGTCATCTTGATGAAGTGGATGGCACCAACCCACGATAATGTGATGCATGCTGTGATGATCAGACCACAAAGAACCTGCAAAAATCCGTGCGAAACAGCCCGCCATCCCCGAGCAGCTTTAAGCCACACGCCTGCGATCGTGAGCTGGCATATGCCATGGCGTCAGCTGTCAAAACCAGTTCCGTCTTGACGTACTGTCGCATTCCAGGACTGATTGGTTGGAAACACAGCATATTTCGTTTTCTCCGCATTCCAATAGACAAAACACTTTACGATAATATCATACAAATGCAATGAGATAGAACTGGTTTTGTCACGTCCCCATCAATGCATACTTACCAAACGAGTTTCGTCCCCATCCATGTAAATTCATTAGGTGTAGCGTACCAAAATGCGCTGAAGTGTTTCAATACGATGCGTATGAGGTCGACGCTCTTATGGAAAAGCTTTCCCGGAATCCGGATTATAACATAATTGCCGGCAGGAGTACTACCAAACCAGTCACAAAGAGCAATATTTCAATCGCCATAAAGTGCGGCAAAAGTGGACGCAACGATAGTAGAGATCAGACGGTGAACGCTGTTTGCGGATGCAGACGATAGCTGAGCTCTGTGTTGTGCCGACGAACATACCGGTGAGAAATGCGTACCTTGCTGGTCCGTTTGGAAAATATAATTTTCCGAAGCTTCATACAGCGGTTTTCGGGGCCGGGCTCTTTGCCGCCGTCTGGAACAGTCATTCACCATCGGATCAGAAACTCATCATGACGCAAAGAGAACTGTTAATGTTTGTTAGATGTGCTGTTTTGTCTATGCTGCTACTTTTCCGCTCTTGCAAAAGCACAAATCGACTTGCTCACTTCTATTCATTCATAGACATTAAAGCCAACTTCTCCGCTGCCAGCGACACCAAAACCACACTACCCTGTTATCTATCCACCATCCTAAACGTTTGGTAGTCTGCGGTGTGGGAGATGGGAGGTTCGGGGGAGAGGGCGTCGGGATGAAATGAGCTATAGATAACTACTTTCGCTCCCTCCCCAGTCTGCCCGGGCGTCGTGAGGCACCCATCACCGCTCCACCAGCGCTGCCCTGGCAGTGAGGCTCTGCACTGCCACCAGTTTGAGCGGGCCGCGCGTTCCGGTCGTCCGCCAGCCGCCGTAAGCGCCGGACGCGCTCCGCCGGCGTCGCCCACCTGGGACCCACCTTTGCCGGCGGGCTGGCCGTGCCGGGTGTCGGGCCGCGCCAGGGTCGGGCTGCCCAGCACGCTACCGTTGCGGCTGGCGTCGGGCCCCGCCGAGTGACCGCTGGCCGCCGACTCCTGCTGAAGCTCGTCGCTGACCACCAGCGTCGGCGTCGGGCGGGCCGACGACTTGCGGCGCGAGCTGAACAGCGAAGAGATCGAGCGGCGCTCCTCCATGCCGGCGGCGGCAGCGGCCGCGCGCGCTCCGATGCGACGCCAGCGGCGGCACCGGCCACACACCGGGTCCGGGGCACCGCTGCCGCCGCCCGCCTCCGTCGGCGGCGACGGAGGCCGACGACTGTCGGCGGCGGCGCGGCGGCGCGGCGACAATCAATATCGCGGTCTGCGCCGGCGTCAGGCTGGAGACCACTCACGGCCTGACACCCGGCGATGCTGCGCGCCGGCCTTCCGGAGGGTCCGCGCGCGCATGCGCCGGTCTCTGACCTCGTCACGTCACGTCACGTCACTGAGCTGGCGCCTGTAGACGCGGCGTCGGCTAAAACGGCGGTTTCCACGCTCCGTGTTGAACGCTGCGGCGAAAAGTGTTCAGCGGCCTAAAACGTTCCTACTCCAAATGAGAATGAGGGCTGTTGCCCTTCCAACCATACTTGACCCTGTCTTAAGGCAGGCTTAGGCCAGCTAGTCATGGCTGTCCCGGAAACACCGACAGATATACCTTTTGTCACGAGGAACCAATAGGGACACTTACCTTAAGATGCACGTGTAGTGTGAAGCCGGTTATGGACATGTTTTCTATCTATTATTAATGACCTATCCGAAGCAGAGCCCTCACCATTTACTCGAGGTGAAAACTGAGCACAGCAGAAATGAGAAGATCGTGCAAACCCTTGAACAATAACGCAAATGTAGTTCTCCAGCTTGGCCTTGCTCCCCCGCACATACACACAGTAACAGATTTTCTAAAACGTGTACACGCATATGACTCTTCGCGACATTACCTGACAGATGTGTTTTTCAGAGCATCATTCCCACTCAAGAAGCGAATGAGAAAATCTCAAAAACCCAAATTTCTTGCATTTGCCCGCCATCATCACAAAAACTTTGAGCTCAAAGCTTCCGAAGGAGACAGTCGTCTCACTTCTTCCTTATCCATCCCGTACAGCAGAATTGTGCGATCTTCCCAACAACCACAACCAAACACTCCACTCCGACCTATGGTATGCGCGTGTAGCGGCCCTTTAGACAAATTGCCATGGTTTCTCAGCAGGGTTTCAATTTAGATTTGGGCTTTGATTCCCGCCCACCTGCCTAACACAGAGTTTGACATAAAGGGAGTGAGGGACATGTTTCCTCCAGATCAAGCTTCCTCTAGTTAGTATCGTTTTTATGATGGGCGTAGCACATCCGTACAGCAACAGCTACTTATTTACATATTTAATAACTTAGTGCTCTTCGGAAAATCAATGTAGAAACGAACAGAACGAGTGGCAATGGGCAACTGCTGTGCACCACCGCTAGCGATAGTCTTCATGCACTCTCTTGTGTCATCTTGTCTGGTTCGAGGTCCTCCACCTAAGACTAAAATGTGCTTAGGTTACACCGATGACATTTTCGGCATCTGGACCCAAGGGATGAGTTCACTGTTAAACTTTCCGCAAAAATCAATCAACAGTACCGGCAGTATTTCTTTCACACCGAAACAAACCGCACAAAACTTGCCGATTAAATTCCCCGGCATCTCTTCTGTGATACATCCCGATGGTAGTTTTATCACAGAGCTCTACTTTAAACCGATGGCTGTTACAATCACGCTACGGTACGCGCCCCATAATCAGTAAGACAGCGGTTTGTATTTGCCAGATGCGGAGAGCGGTGCGGGTATCTCCTGGTTCACAGTTGTGTCAGCCTAGTCTAGTTAACCCTCGCTCTGATTCGCTATTTTTCGTAACTCGAACTGACCGGGGTCAAAGCCCCCCCCCCCCCCCTCTAGTATATCCAAACTAATAAAGATAGAGCTGTACTTAGCCACCAGGAGCTTGTTCTCAGCAACATTGCGCGATTTACACTAGTTTCTATGCTGTCAGGTCAATAATGAACCCTAATGTGCCCGGTCAAAGGCAACATTTTCAAAAAATCACGCTTTTCCAGCTTTACGTTACGCACACAAGACCATTCTTCGTGGCAAAACAAAACCTAAACAGGTATGTTCCTCATTCAATTGTAAGTGTAGTAATTCATATCTATGTTGTTTTGAGCATACGTTTATGACGCTCCGTCAATACAGCAATGTAGGCCTGCGGCGCGCGTTCTGCAGCATAGTCGGTTGTCACCCGCCGATCACACCAAATCGTAGATCGCCGAGTAGTGCTCCTCAAAAACCACCACTGCCCCGAGACAAGAAAAGCTAGGAACACGTCTTCTGGTGTCAAAACACCCGCGATCGATGCCATAGACTAACGAAAATTTGGGCGCGATTGCACAATATGCCGGAGAGGTACCCTCAAACACCCTGTAGTGTTGCGTGCCCCCCACCCCCACCCCACCCCGATATCAGGGCGAGGTTTGAAATGGCTCTCCTCTTCCGTGAGAATAGGTGTCCAGAGTGAAGTCTGCTGCTTGTGCCACACGTTCTCGATTTACGCTATAACAGTTTTGTGTAGAAACTGTAAAAAGACAAAGCAAACATACCATGCTCATGTGAAACTCCAATTTAATGTCGCCGCATGATCGAGTAGTGTGCACGGCCCTGGAAGTGGTGGTCCTGGTGTTAAGTCCATACTAGTACGATCAGCGCTAAAACTGCAATCTGCCCTGCTGACAGGGTTTACCCTGCATGTGTGAATGCACAGAAGGGAAAATGCAATCAGAAGAACGTAGCTTACCAGATATCCTATAAACCTTGCCCAGGAATATTTCATGTGAGAGAAACAAAGAGTAGAATTCGTGACCGGCTTAAAGAACACCTGGACGTTTTGGAGAGGAGACGTACGTTTACGGAGACCGCGACACCACTAGGCCACATGGCAGATCGACACGCAGCAGCGGAGGATAGCGGGACAAATACTAACCGTAAAACATAAATGTTGTCAACGGCCAAAGACAAAGCGCACCTCAAAATCTAGATGAATCACTTCCTACTCGGAATTTTCATCCTGGGCTGGACGTACAAACGTCATCATTCGACCCACCTTAAGACGCGTCCGGGTGGCCGGTTGGATACCATTCGGTCGAGTGGGGGTTAATTTGACCTTCATGAGATTGCAGGAACTAAGAGAGCTAGAAACATCAAATTCGCAGGGTGTGCTGACCTGTACGTAAACTCACTTGGGTCAATGTTTTAGATTCCTAGGTCATGACCTTTGGGTCAAATAGCGTCAAAAAGGTCAAATTTCAAGTTGGTCTCCAATAGGTCCCTAGAACTTTGATATCTGTTCTAAGCAAAAGGTCACATGCTCATCTATGAGCAGTGACCTTGCATGATCTTTGAAAGGTCATGGTGACCAAAATCATACGAGACCGGTTTTAGTTTTGCATTTGGATAATTGGCAACAATTACGCTAGACAGTACGTTCCTAATGGCCAAACGTTGACCGGGGTCATTCTAGGATGGTAACCTATTCTTACCTCTGCTAAGTCTATGGAAAGTGTGTAATGCGGTTTCTATAATCAATAAATTCAAAATGAGCACCAGTAACTGCCCCTTACAGCAAGCGCTAGAGTAATAAAACAGGTTGGTTTTAACCTTAGTCCGAGTTTCATACCTGACCCTAGGTCAATGCAATTTGTTCATTCGATTGTTGTGTTGCCTAAAAAAGCATCTCAGAGTTGTATGGCTTCGTGTAACGCTCCTGTGTACGCTCCCTAACGCTCGTGTAACGCTGTAACGTGTAACGCTCGTGTAACGTGTAACGTTGTGGGATCAGATCGAACGATCCCCTAGAAATCGTCGTCGCTGAAACCATGGCCTGATTTTGACCTGCCGTAGGTCAGCAGTCTTATGGTGTATATCTAAGTTTTTATGTCAAACGACCTGCTATTTAATTATGTACTGATATGTAAAATTTGGTGCGGCTACGCTGCGCGGTTCGGAAACCATTCCGGAAAAACCTTCGGGGCGGGCAATCTGACCACCCGAGCCCCTACACCCTACACCCGAGCGCGTGTAGAGAATCTGTTTAGGTTACACACACTCCACACACGGCCCTGGCCATGTTCGTGCTGCCTGACAAGCGGCAAGTAATGTTCTTATCTGGTGCTGTGTATCAGACTTGGCAAACTCTCGGCTCAGCCACCTGTTTTGCTGTTTTTGCAGCCTTTGACGTTGAACTGTTTGACAAATCTTACTGATCTGGGATGCCGTAAGTGTAAAAAAGATAATATTCCATCCAGTTTCTTCATATTCATTGGAACCTCTCGGGATAATCTCCATCCCTTCTGCGGCCTTGATCAGGCAGTGATATTCATGAAATCAGATTTAGACACACATTAAGAAAAACATTAAAAGACACATGCAATCTAGCATACAGACGAGCAACAGAGGAACAGCAGAGGCTCTTTCCAGAGGTAGCACGGCTATGGCGTTATGAGGAGTAACGGAAGGATACCTTTGCTAGATTGCCTATGTCTTATTAGATCTTTCTTAATTGTGCCTAAATCTGTTTTGATAAGTATCATTGTTGGACTGAAGCTGACGAAGGGGTAGCGATTGCCCCGCAAGCTCCCATTGAAAGAAAGGACGCTGGTTGGAATATTATCATTTTTACATTAAACTTGAATTGCATCCAGGGTGGTGGGATCTCAGCTGATTTATATTTTTGACATCTTCAAGTGGCATTGTCTGCGCAGATTGGAAGCGTTCTCTAAATTAATGTACGTTAGTTGTTACATGTATTATGCTCTGGGGTGGAGCAAGGATTCCGTTAAGGGTGGGCACGAAACATTGCGGGGCCTCCTAAGGTCTGGGCCCCCTCCAAAAAATCCTTGCATTCCAGCCACCTATCTTTATATGTATATATATATATACATATATATACAAACACACACACACACACACACACACACACACACACACACACACACACACATATATATATATATATATATATATATATATATATATATATATATATATATATATACAAACACACACACACACACACACATATATATATATATATATATATATATATATATATATATATATATATATATATATA